AGGGGAGAGCTCAACAAACACATAGATCAGAGGTGACATCCCACAAATCTCAACTATCAATTTCTAACCCTCAGGAAGGAGCACCCCTCATTCTCCAAACTCTAGTTCTTTGGGGTTAGGGAGATAATTTCAGTGGTAGGGCACAAGCATAGCATGTGCAGGGCCCTGAATTTAATGCCATCACTGCATACCCCTACTCTGAAAGCACTGTGGAGCGGGGTTCTGATGCTCCGAAGCTCAGCAGGGCCAACCACTGATTTATCAGCTCACCACTATCAGCTGATCACCAGGAATGCCCATGGGCCCCTCCAAGCAAAGACGAGTGGAGTGGGGTGAAGATTGGAGGCTATAAAAAAATCGCTATGGCAAACTCTCACTTTCTTCTTCACCCTCTGGCATTCTGGCCAGCTGAGTGCTGGACACCAATGGCAACCCTAGCATGTCTTCAAGACTGACTTGGGAGCAGCCCACTTAGAAGAAGAACATTATTTATGTGCATCATAAGCAAGATTTTCATATGAGTTCATAGATGACAAATAATACCCAGCATCTGATCAAGACTAAGGACTTGAAGTCTACCCAAGCAACCCCTTGCTTCTGCCCTTGGTGACCACCAACCTATAGGCAACTTCCCATATTAGTTTCTATTTGAATTCAATCAGAACTGTAAGGCTCATGCTTATGGGCTAGTGGTTCTTTATCTCTAAAGTAGAAATTAGGGGCCGGAGACATGGTACAGCAGGTAGGACACTTGCCTTGCAAGCGGCTCACCCGGGTTTGATCCCTGATACCTCATATGGTCCCCTAAGCCCACCGGGAGTGATCTCTGAGAGCAGATCCAAGAGGATATCCTGAACAATAATGCCCCCACCCCAAGAAAATAAAATAGAAATCACCTTCAGGTTTGGAATCCAATTATTATTATAACAGGGACTCTGAATGGGATTTTTGAAACTTTGGTGAAGGAAGGGATACTTACTACTTACAAATAAAAAACTTCCTTTCATCTTTGGGAATAGAGAATGAAATTTACTTTTAGGTAGATTCCAGATGCCTTCCAAATGTGAACAAAAGAAAAAGAAGGAGTCATCACTTAACCTGTGTCGCTCAGCACTAATACACATATAGAGGAATAATGAGGACAAATGAAACTAACTTATAGCAATCATGTACTCCTCTCAGCAAACAAGATCCCTCGAATTGAGAAAGGCAGCATGTTAACAGTCACATACGAGATCCCCTGTATATGTGTCAGTGCAAATGGACACGTGTGCATGCACATACACAAAAGCATACAACAGGGTTAGCTGAGAGGCTTGAAACCTCAGAGTCAGAGAAAACAACCCAACATCTTACACTCAGAAGAGGGAACAAAGCCTGTGTCACTTGCTGGAACTAAGAACAGCAATCATGAATGCAATCATCGATGCATGAAGAATTTTCGAAAATGCAAACACCATTCCTCTTAGATTTCCCAGAGACACAATTTTGGGAGTGGAAAAATTTCCGTTTTTTTTTTCACTCTTTGAGTAAAGTAAGAACTGGGTAATATATGTGTGGTACACTACCATCAGTGTTATTTAAAATCTAGTCACGCACACTTAGTACAATAGTCACTAGAGACAATCCAAATGCCTAAGAACAAGTGAACTAATAAAGAAATTGTGGTATATACACACAGTGGAGTAGTATGAAGCTGTAAGAGAAAGCTGCTGAAATCATGCAATTTGTAGCAAATGGAAGGTACTCTGCTAAAGAAAATAAGTCGGAGGAAAGACAAATATCAGATGGCATCATTCATCTGTAGTACAGAGAGAAAGAGAATAAGGTTTGTGTCAAAATGTGAGAGAAAAAAAAACCTTTGCCCTAGATTACAAAACTCAGATTATCAAGCATTGGGAGGTGTGGTAGGGAATGAAGACAGACCAGAGGTGACATAGAGACAGTGGTGGAAGGTCTTGGGCACTTTGGGGGGGCATCTATACCTTACTTTAATGCTACCTAATTAATTATTAAAGTATGCAATTTTTTAGACATCCAATTACCAATTTTTTCTTTGCAATCTGAAACACACAGAAAAAACAAGCTGCATCATTATAAGGACATCCTTATGATGTGTATTGGTTCTTCACTTTGAATAATGTGGCACAACAAATATCACATCTAAAAATGATGCTTCAGTTCATGACAGTGCATTTGGACATATGTGCCAAGAAACAGTACTTTTCAAATCAACCATATTCTTTGGAAAAAGACCAGAATAACATACTATTGTATTAAAGAAACCATGACCATGAAATATTAGTTCTAAATCATGAATGATGGTATATTAGTACCTGCTGTTCTCTCTACTGCACAAAAGCCTTACAAGGATATAACCTTTAAGTTCCGACCTTTAAAACATTATGGTGGATGATGGCAGGATAGTATAAGGGTTAAGATGTTTGCCTTGCATGCAGCCAACCTGGGTTCAATTCCTGGCATCCCACATGGTCATCCAAGCACTGCCTAACTACTGATTGCAGAGCCAGGAGTAATCCCTGAACATCACCAGTATGTCTCAAAAATTAAAATAAATAAAAATATGGTTCAATTACTTTTTGGAAACAAGATATTTGCACATAACACAAAGATCAAATAATGTTCATGGCCATAGTACAGTACTCTACTGCAGAATACCAGAGAAGTGAAAAGAAATGAGATGGTGGCAATGGGTGGACTTGGCAGACAAGTTGTTCCTTTCATTAAAGCACCCCACTTTTCTTTTTTTTAATTTTTGTTAGTGAAACACCACGAGGTACAGTTGTAGACTTACAAGTTTTTGTGTTTGTGTTCCAGTAATATAATGATCAAGTACCCATCCCTCCACAAGTGCCCATTCTCCACCACCAATGATCCCAGTACCCCTCCCACTCCTCACCCCCCCACCCCATCCCATCTCGCCTCTGTGGCAGGGCATTCCCTTTTGTCCTCTCTCTCCTTCTGGGTGCTGAGGTTTGCAAAAGAGGCACTGAGTGGCAATCATGTTTGGTCTATAGTCTAGTTTCAGCATGCATTGCCCATCCTGGGAGGATCCTCCCCAACACCCTTTATTTGGTGCTCCCTTCTCTATCTGAGCTGCCTTTTCCCCTAGCATGTGCAGCTGGCCTTCAAGCCAGGGAGTATCCTACTGGTACTTATCTCAACTATTCTTGGATGCTAGTCTCCTATTTTTTTACTTTATATTCCCCAGATGAATGCAATCTTTCTATGTCTGTCCCTCTCTTTCTGACTCATTTCACTTAGCATGGTACTTTTCATGTAGTGTCACTTGTATGTAAATTTCGAGCGATAGCATAGCAGGTAGGGCATTCGCCTTACAAGTGGCCAACATGGCCGACCCGAGTTCGATTCCTCTGCCCCTTTCGGAGAGCCCAGCAAGCTACCGAGAGTATTCGATATGCCAGACACAGTAACAACAAAGTCTCCAATGGAGACGTTACTGGGCCCGCTCGAGCAAATCGACGATCAACGGGAGGGCCTTTACCTTTACCTTTACCATCTTTTCTAACAGCTGTGTAGTATTCCATTATGTAGATGTACCAAAGTTTCTTTAACCAGTCATCTGTTCTCGGGCACTCGGGTTTTTTCCAAATTTTTGACTATTGTGAACAGTGCAGCATGAACATAGAAAAAGCACCCCACTTTTCACATGTTCACTGAAGGCAACAATGAATCTGGTGGAAGGCGTAGCTGTAAAACAACTTTATTGGGACACCCCACAGAGACAGCAAGTAGAGAACACACTGACCAAGAAAACCAACATCCTCCCCTTCCAGCCACTGACAGGAAGCCAAACATTCACAGAATGCACGCTGCTATATTCAAGTGGGTCTTCTTGGATTTAAAACCGCTGAGCAGAGTAACCAAACCCAGAAAAAATAAAGGCATTTTGCTTTCCAATTCTTGTTTCACCACAGCATCAGACACTTTGTGTAAAGAAATTCAAACCCCTACTCATGGCTTCTTTTTAGACCTTGTTTCTAATTCTTAGTCTTCACTGAAAAACCTTCACACAATGAAATGACTTTTGCTAAGCAATTACACATGTCACCTGGATGCAAAATAGAGCACATTTGTCAAATATATTTCAGGAACCTGGGAGCCACCTGAAATGTTTAGAGGAGGAGGAAAGCAAAGCTTACATACTCTGCCAGGCATGTGAAGACTATAGGAGTTCATAATGGAAAGAAAACGAAAAGAAATAAAACTAAGATAAAAGTGATAATGGAAGACAGCAGGATAGCAAAACCTTAATCTCTATTCCCAGTCTTACCATATACTTCACCCATGAATTTGAAAGATCCAATCAGGGAAAAAATAAGTTTTTTTTGTATACCACATCCATAACCAGGCTGATTTTTTAGTACGAAAAAGAAGATAAAGGCCAAAGTTTTAATAAGTGACAGCAAAACTCAATAACTAGGAGTCTTTGTAGGAAAAGTGCAAGATTAATAGAGAAACAGGAAGAGAACAAACAACCACCTGGGAAAGCACGGAAGCTTTCCAGGCAATTCTCCCCTCACTTAGAACTTGAAATCTCCCCCTAGTCAGAACCTCCTCCAGTAAGAGACTCAGAGCTGAGAGGCACAAAGCGGAATTAATTCCCACCACATGCAAGTCCTCTGTATACTTATCTATGCGCCATCCTGCTCTAAGGCAAAAGACTCATTAATCCAATTCAAATTGCTAACAACAGTAAATCTGTTGCCTTCCTATGTAAATGCCAATACCAGTTAAATACCAACAGCGACTTAAGTACTGATATGATCTTCACTAGATTCAGAAAACTCAGCCAAAAGTCCAGCTAGCAGTATTACAATACGACTTCATCAATTCTAATTTACTTAGTAGGGGGAGAAAAATAAGGTAGTTTTTTGTCACAGTGATTCATTAAACTGAAATAACTCCACCAACAACAACAAAAAAAAAGAAACAAACTCAGTTGCAATCCACCGAACCTGAATGATGTCTTCACCAAGGCTTCTGGGCTATCCAGCTGAGGCAATTCATCAGCTAGAATTTCCTCTGGTGGACGAGGATCATTGACAATTGTTGGCCGTGGTTTCTCCTTGACATTGCCTGTGAGTCCATCGATGAGAGAATTCCACAGACAGTTCTGTGACTTAGACCCTGTAGCAAAAAGAAACAAAACATGTGCAGGTGAACTACCAACCAACTAAGTCCTGCTTACGCAGGTCAGGATCTAAAAGTGTAGCAGAAAACTTTACATAGTTTGTATGATCTTTCCCAACATCAGAGAACTCCAGAAAATATAAATTGGTACCTTATGATATAATCAGGACATACTTTTATTCATACACAGAAATAATGTATGAATTATGACACTGAATATTTTGACTCATAGTTGGGCATTAGACACATATCCCAGAAATATCTAAGATATAAGAGAATATATTTTAGAAATAATATTAAAAATATATGTTAACTGCAGCACTATTCACAATAAACAAAATCTGGAAACAGCCCAAGTACCCAAGAACAGATGGCTGGATAAAGAAACTATGGTACATCTACACAGTGGGATACTACTCGTCTTTAAGAGAAGATGAAGTCGTCCAATTTGCTGCCTTGTGGATGGATCTAAAGAGGACTGTGCTGAACGAAGTCTGCAGAAGGAGAGGAACAGACACAGAATGATCTCTCTCATGTGTGGGATATAAAGAAACATACTGGAGGAATAACAAATATCCAATGACAACAGACACTGAGAACTGGTCTCAGCAGAAAGCTCCCCACAGAGAGGCGAGAGGAAGGTTATAGGAGGGGGCAGAGGACACTGGGACAATGATGGAGGGAAGCAGACTCAGCTATTAATATGTTTTTGCAATGGGTGATCTTTGATATGAGTGCCTTTGCAAGCAAATGCCGAACGGAAGGCACCAACACCTTAGTCAGCAGCTCAAAGTCAGGCACTTACCCCATAGGCCTTTTCTGTAAGAACTATACCTAAAACTACAGTTAGGCTCTTTCTTCTGGGGATCAAAGCCTAAGTAAATGACACTACCTGGTTACTGATACTCTATAAAAAAAAACTGCAGACATGGTAGATGAACACCAAGACTTAGTCAGGAAGCTGAACTGGCGTCACTGCAAAAGCAGGGACAGGTCATCGGGATCAATATTATTTAACCTTGATACGATGTGATGCAATGGTACTATACATCTGTGCCGAGACACCCAATCACAGTGTACTAAGCATGTTTCTAGCTAGCGTAAATTTGTCTTACATGCATATCACAACACATTCAAGATCATCATACACAATTTGTTCACACATCTAAGTCATCTTACACTGGCCTCAACTTCCCCTCAGTGTCTCTAGCCAGATCAAAGCAACCAGAGTATACACTTCCAACCAGCTCTTAACAAACCTTCACACACAAAAAAGAGATCTCAGGAGAATCCCTGAACTATAACCGCAGACATCTGTGTATCAAGAAACAACTCTTAGTAACCATCATGGACCCTCTTGAAATGCCCCACATTCAAACTACTTTTACGCCCTTCTCAGAGAGCCCGGCAAGCGACCAAGAGTATTCGATATGCCAGACACAGTAACAACAAAGTCTCCAATGGAGACGTTACTGGGCCCGCTCGAGCTCGAACTTTTATGTCAATCAAGAAAAAAAGTAAAGCATATTAGTAGCAGGAAACAGACCCTCTACAAGCCTCTGAAATACAAGTTATTTTTTAAGCCCTAAACATATATCTTAATAAGATCTTGGCCTATTAATGAAGGTCTGGTTCTGTGTTAACAAAGGTCTGCTCTATGTTAACCAAGGTCTGGTTCTAGGGAGAATAACAGTATCAGCAGCCTGTTTCCTTAAATTTGATCTAAACGAAGATCTTACAGTAAATTCTCTGCCATTTCCCTTCATTCTTTCATTTATTCATTCAGTATGCACATATTGAATTCCCTCCAAATGTCAACTTCAATTCTTGGCCCTAGAAATAAGAAGATGAATGAGACTCATTCCCTAAGGTATCACTCAACCCATAAGCCACCACATTCAATAGAAAAATAAGATGTATCAAAGGGCTCATCTACTCTGCCTCAGATCCGAGGCAAAGCCACTCAGAGAATATGATGTGGAATCAAAGTGGGAACAAATATTTCGGTAAGTGGGGCACAGAGAGAACAGTTAGCACCAATTCAATCCGTGCAAAGGTTCAGAGGGAAAACAAAGAAGTTTGTTCAAGCTAGAACAAAGTAAAACCACAGACAAGGGACAAAAATAGGTAGTCAAGGCTCGTCTGGGCCAACTGCAAAGGTCAATGAATAAAATGCTGGTTATTTTGGAATTTCTCCTGGAAGCAAAAAGAGAACCAAAGATTTTATTTCTTGTTAGGTCACACCCAGTGATGCACAGGGATTACTCCTGGCTCTGCACACAGGACCATATGGGATGCTGGGGATCATATAGGTTGCCGGGGATTGAACCTGGGTTGGCTACATGAAAGGCAAACACCTACCCGCTGTGCTATTGCTCCAGCCCCCCAAGTGTTTTTAAGTATAATTGTGCTAATATGACCAAGTCTTACATGCATATATAAATCACTAATTTTAGGTATACATGAATTAATAAATTACATTATGTAAAAGTACCAATGAATTTGTGCTTTCTCAACATTTTTAAGACAGTGTATCACAGAGCCAAGTGACCTAAGCCATGAGGGGTCCCAAATGTGATAACATCTCAAAGTTTCAGCAACAGCTAAAAGGATACATTGCAACTTTGAAAGAAGACAGTGGCAGAAGCTACAGTTTTCTCAACATTCATTCCTATCTCACGTTTTACTTATAAAGAAACTAGAAAACAGCAGGGTCAATTTTTACAGTCTTCCTGAATGCTATGATGGTGGACACATCCTGAGGCTAATGTCAATTTCTAAATTTAAAAGCAAAGAATCAACAGAAGAAATAGATTTTTGTCCCTTTAAACTTGGCCTTTTCAGGGCAGGAGCAATAGTCCAGTAAGTAGGGGCTTGCCTTGCCTTGACCAACACTCGGGGCACCACAGATGGCACCCCAAGCCCCACCAGGAGTAATTCCTGAGTGCAGAGCCAAAAGTGAGTCTTAAGGATCACCAGGTGAAGCCTAAAAACAAAACAATAAATAGAATTTAAGCCATTAAAATATAATCTATACACATAAATACTTCTATATACATAATGTAATGTTAGCACAGCAGGTAGGGCGTTTGCCTTGCACGCAGCTGACCCGGGTTTGATTCCTCTGTCCCTCTTGGAGAGCCCGGCAAGCTACCGAGAGTATCCCACCTGCACAGCAGAGCCTGGCAAGCTCCCTGTGGCATCTTTGACGTGCCAAAAACAGTAACAACAAGTCTCACAATGGAGACGTTTACTGGTGCCCACTCAAGCAAATCAATGAACAATGGGAGGACAGTGCTACAGTGCTACAATGCTACAGATAATTCTTGATATGTGATTCCTAGTTGGCTTGAAATAATTGTGTGTACTTTTCCCTTCCACTCTTCAATCACAAAGACAATACTTCTAAATATTTATGATGATACTTTGGAGGACAAAACTCTAGCTACTTTTCCCAGTCAACATTCTAACAGTTATCCATTTATAAGTTTTATTATAATTAAAACTGTTATGAAAACCTTGTGTTATAAAGAAAACTGTAGCAACTGGATACATATTATACCCAATATGTATATTGAATTAAAACTACAAAAAGCATAAAAAGTGGAAGACAAAAGTAGAAAACTACAAAAAAAATACAAAATAGTAATGAATATAAGTATTGATGCACTCATATCAATAATCACTTAGAATATCAATGGTATAAATATACAATCAACAGAAATTTTCATAATAGATAAAAAAGCAAAAACCAACTATGGTTGTTTACAAGTAATCCACTTTCTATCTGATTTTTTAAAAATTTGAGATATAATAAAACATAACACATGTAAGTTTCAGATACACAATGCAATTATTTCATTTTTTCTTGTATGTTTTGTTTTACGGTATTTTTCTTGAAATGTATCTGACATTTAACATTATATTAGAACCCTACTTTAAATATTAAGACAAATTTAAAATAAATGGAGAAAAATATACCTTGCTAACAATAATCAAAAGAAAACAAAGTTCAGACAATTGAGACAGAACTCATTAAGTTCACACAGAACTGTATTTTCTGAACTATATTAAGCTCAGACAGATCAAACTTCAAAAGCAAGGAAATATATCAGGGATAGAGAAAGGCATTGCATAATGACAAAAGGTTAAATACCCAAGAAGATATAATGGTATTTAATATATGTAGCACTGTAGCACTATCCTTCCATTGTTCATCAATTTGCTCAAGCAGGCAACAGTAACATCTCCATAGTGAGACTTCTTGTTACTGTTTTTGGCATATCGAATACATCATGGGTAGCTTGCCAGGCTCTGCTGTGCAGGCAGGATACTCTCGGTAGCTTGCACGGCTCTCCAAAAAGGATGGAAGAGTCAAACCCAGGTCGGCCATGTGCAAGGCAAACACCCTACCCACTGTGCTAACGCTCTTGCCCACTTAAAACACACACACACACACACATATATATGTATATATATATATATATATATATATATATATATATATATATAAACAGATCATCAAACTACATGGGGCAAAGCTAATAGAATTGGAAGGCAAAATATATGAATCTATAGTTGAAGACTTATGGACCTCTCTACCACAGCGGACATATGTGAACAGGCAGACAAGCAGTGAAGCCATAGTTGAACTCAACCATACCATCAATGCATTTGCATTGGGTTACAAAGTAGTCTATTAAGTTAGGTTTTTTTTTTTGTCCTAGTCTCAATCTGTAGATATGACATTAGAGTTGAAGCTCTATACATAATCCCTAATCAATCTTCTCTCCTTTATTAGCATATTGGCTATAGTTCTGTTTTCACTTTTTAGCAATTAACCTGGAGTTCAAAACATACATTTAGAATTAATCCAACATCACTTTCATATAGCATTAGGGGCTGCAGCAATAGTAAAGTGGGTACAGTGTTTGCTTTGTATGTAGCCAACCCAGGTTGGATCCTTGGCATTCCATATTGTCCCCCTGAGCACCACC